AACTATGTGCATGAAATTTCCAGGAGTTCAATTTGATTCAAAAGGGACTTTGCCTTTACTTTTATTATTTTCATATCACTTGTAGAATGAACTTATATATTTTTCATGTGAAAGACATAATTTGACTATAAATAACTAAAAAACGTGTTTCTCTTAATGTGTACTTCATATATGTTTAATTACATGGTCCGAATAATACGTTTTATATATAATTGTGTTTCAGCTAGTTAGAAATTTAAGTCTCAATATAAAACAGCCGTCATTATAAATAACAGAAGTGGTATTTAAGAAATAGATTGGTCATAGCAAAACCAAAGCTTTATAAGAGTCGTTTTTTATGTATGTATGTATGTATGTATATAAGCACATAGAGCATTAATGTTAGTTAGTTTCTACATATGGAAAAATAAGAAAAGTAAACCGTATCAAAAAAGTTTCATTTTATTAATACAATTTTGAATGTATATTCTACATTTATTTCTAGAGCTCATTATGTAGACTGTAGAGATTATTCAGATCCAAAGTAAGCATGCTTACTGTACCTTAAAAAAGCCATGCCTTCTGTGATATAGAAGATATGAATGCAATTGCTAGACCCACACCAGATCCAAACACCTACCCATTTTGGATGTGAATACCTGCACATCCTACTAGATTGACTGCATTAATATGATTTTAGCTGTGTTACATAGTTTTATAAAAGCGATTGACTATCAATATAAGAGGGAGTGTTTTCAGCACCCTTTAAAGAGGTGTTGGTGCACCCCACTCCTCAAGAAGCCCTCCCTGGTTCCTACCATACTGGACAATTTCTGTCCAGTCTCCCACTTCCCTTTCTTGGGGAAGGTGGTTGAGAAAGTGGTGGCATCACAGCTTCAAAGGGTCCTGGAGGAAATGGATTATCTAGACCCTTATCAGTCAGGTTTCAGGCCCAGTTATGGAACGGAAATGGCATTGGTCGCACTTATGGATGATCTCTGGCGAGAGCAGGGTGGGTGAAGTGCGACCATCCTTGCTCTCCTTGATCTCTCAGCGGCTTTCGATACCGTCGACCACGGTATCCTATTGGGACAGCTCAGGGATTTGGGGGTGGGCAGCACAGTTTTTTGCTGGTTCACCTCCTTTCTTCGGGGCCACTCCCAGTCGGTGGTGATAGGGAGCGAGAGGTCCCATCCTCAGCCGCTCCTCTGTGGGGTGTCGCGGGGTTCAGTTCTCTCTCCGCTCCTTTTCAACATCTACATGAAAACTCTGGGTGATCCGCCATCCTGGGATGAGGTATCATCAGTATGCTGATGATACTCAATTATATATCTCTATCCCTGGTGAGGTAAGTGATGCCGTGACTGCCCTCTTGCAGTGCCTGGAGGCTGTGAGGGTCTGGATGGGGAACAACAGGCTCCAGCTGAACCCTGGTAAGACAGAGTGGCTGTGGGTTAACGGCTCCTCTGTATCCGGGACATTGTCATCGTTGGTGCTGGATGGGGTAGCACTGCCTGAGACAGACCCAGTGCGTAATTTGGGGGTCCTCCTGGACTCACAGCCCCTGCTCGAAGAGCAGGTGGCTGCCGTGGCCAGGAGGGCTTTTGCACAGCTCCGGGTTGTGCGCCAGTTACGCCCCTTCCTGGATCGGGATGCCCTTC